ATGAAAGCTAGTGTCAGCGAGAAACTAATAGAATGGGATAAGACTAGGATGGGATTGGACGGGGGATTTTTCTCCCCGGTCTTAAATGGGGCGGGTGATGAGAGAGGATACACCCGGCCCGTCCCGCTCTATCCCACATGGAAAAAATTATATGACATACAAAACATAATAATTATAAATTCAAGATTTAGCTTTGTTATGATTCATTGGATTTGAAAGGATTTAGGATTACTCATTCTACCTTGCCCATTTAACAAATACAATTATTTATTTTACTACTCAACTGCCGGTATTATTATGTAATAAGCGTTATATATTGATTTTTCCCCCTTCTCGTTTGTTTGTTTTGTAGCCCTTTTGATAGAAGTTGCTTTATATGCATGTTTGTTGATTATAGTTGGGTGGAGATGATGTTACTTCAGTAGTACACCTGGGTTCCTGGTTAGGCCAATCTTTGAAAACTTAAAGTAGTTTCATGTTGTTGGAAGGATCTTACGTTGTACTGGTGTCTTCCCCTGTGGGCACTCACTGGAGCAGGGGCAGGGAACACGGGGCGGGGCCGGGGGCAAGGATGGGAAAAGTTATTTGACAATGGGACAATGGGCCTCCCAATCCAAAACCTGACGGTTACCATCTCTAATTGCTTATAGCATGAAGTACAAAAGGATAGTGAGTAATCTAATCTGTAAGGATTCACCATCTTTAATAATAGAGGAATTATTTCATTATTAGCCACTTATTAAAATATAACTTGAAAAATTTGAATACTAAGAGGACAAATCTTAAGTATGTGTATCTAAGTATATATTTATTAAGAGTTACATTTTGGTAATAAGAAGATGATTCATCACATTAGAGTTGGCACATGTTTCATACCCTAAATTAATGTGAGATAAATTTAATAAAGGATAATAATTATATGGTGAACATGAATGGAAAAGTGAAATCATCTACTTGAATTTTTCTTTATACTTTGGTGGCCATGATGTTTTATTAAAAGCCAATCTTGATCTATAAATGTAAGTTAGTCAATTATGGTTAATCAATGATAATTTAAAGTGGTTTAATTTATCTAATTCTTGTGATTAAGAATTCCAATTTTTACTTATTGCCACAAGAATTCCAATTCTTGTGATTAAGTCACACACATTAAGATTTTCTTTTGTATAAAATTAAAAGATACTCAATTTAAAAACTTATAATTTAATTCGTTAGACAAATTAAACTTCAACGGATTATTATGTAGGTATGGATAAGTCTTCTAAAACAAGAGTTATATTAGAAAATGAAAACTAAATCCTATTGGAACTAGTTATGTATTTCCTACTAGAATTAAATTCTTTATTTGTCTATATATATCGTCATAACTTAAAACAATAAGATATAAATTTACACAGAAGTATGTGATATTTTAGAGCAAATCTAGGGAGAGAAAAATACCAAATTTTGGCCAATCAAGAGAGAAGAAATCGGTTATTTCTTTTCTCATTCTCTTGATCGGATTCCTAGTTGACGAACTAGGATTTCTTGTTTTCCACATGTTCATCAACTCGTGAGATTTATTCTTGATGGAGAGCTAGTACTTATCTCATTATAGGTGAAACTACATAAGAGATTTCTTGCATTAGAATTCGTGTGGATCACTATTAGAAGTTGAACATGTGCATAACTTGAGTAGATTATACCAACTTTGGCCTCAAACTTAAGAAGATCTTCATTATTTGAAAGTAATCTTCTTAATTACTTTTAACCCCATAGAATCTAACCAAAATGGATATGTTCATAGGGATCAAAATTTTAGTTTTCTGCTGCTTATACCTCACTACAACAAAAATGGCATTTCCTGACATGTCTATAAGGACACTTGTTGGTTTGTGTCATTATACCAAACGTATCATGACACTTATTAACCAACTCAATAATATGCACTATAATTTTTTTATTTTATCATGATATAAAATAATAATGTGCCTTTTGGCTACCTATCATGACACTTGGGAAAATGTGAGAAAAAAAAAAGACAAACGACATCGTTTTAATTTGGCTCCAGACACTTGGTAAAGTACTCTGAAGTTTCATTTTGCCGGCAAAAGGACTTGGTGAAAATTTTCTTCTTCCCATATCTCTCACCTCTCCGCATACAATCTATCTCAGCTAATCTAGAATGTTGGTCAAGCTATCTCCGCAAACAACCATCTTCATCTTTTCTAACCTCAACTTTAAATCCTTCGGCTAAGACATCTGGAAGGGCAGGCAGGGAGTAAAATTAGAAGATCGGAGCTGTACATTGGGAAAGCTGGAAGATACTTCAGGCGCGCAAATGTTGTTCCAAAATCAAAATGGTAAACACAATGAAGCTCTTATGTTTGATTTCATTGTCAAGAAATTACCTGCAACTTGGAAATTAAGGTAATCAGAATTAAAAGGAGGAAATTGTATTGTCCTGCAACTTGGAAATTTTTTTCTGAGAAGTAAAGATTCTTGGCCTGAGCTGTCGCTAGTTGAGTTATATTGTCCTCATTTAAGATTATTGAAAGATTTAAATGTGATATCTATCTAATTGTAGCATTAATAGCAACTCGGTGTTGGATGCTTTTTCTTTTGCTGCAATGGAGATGAAAACTTGAGGAAATTTGTTCAATTGGATTGCGTATTTTGTGAGGAGATCGATCTTTATGTCCATGTTACATTTTTTCTATTGTCATGCCATAATTGTACATAGGCTAGCTAATAAAGTGTCCATGGGTGATTAGTATGTTGCCCAAAACCTGTTCGATAAAAAGTCAATTCCCCCCTGTTTTTCATTTTTTTCTATGAAACCTAGCTGTAATTGAAGTTTATTTAGGCAGCTAGTTCTGTTTGGGGGTAGGGACGGTTAAGCAAAACTGTGAATAGAGAACTTCAACCAAATTGCATTGCTTATCGTAATCATGAACACTCAGCAACAAGTTCGATATAAATAAATGAAACAAGGACCATGGTCTATATATGCCTAGTAGGAAATTATTCTGGTGACAAAATTGGGAAACCGTGACTATGTAAGCCCAAAGACAATTAAGATGCAGATAATGGACTGCCAATGTGAGGCACAAAATTTGCATAACAAAGGTAACCTTTGCTGCCTTTTGGCTTTTGCCACAAAGGTGGTCCTCCGGCTAAGTGCATATTTCAACCAATGGTATCACTTATATCACTATTGCTTTTTTCTATGTTAAATTCTATGTAGTACTTGCATCTTTACAGCATTTTTCTATTTTAAATTGTATGTCTAATCAGTACATGAGTTGCTTGAAATATATAGTATAACGCTTGTACTAAGTGTCTTCTGCACTTGATCAGTCTATTATATTGCAAATTTTGAGCCCAAAAAAGGGGACTTTTAGATTAATAAGACAGAGACATTGATGCAGTTGGGTCAAAGTATTTTGACATGTTCATAAGGATCTTCATAGGCATGATTAGAAGCTAGGGGACTTTTCTATCATTCTTTTTTCCAATTACCTATGCCATCAGCTGCATGTATTTCTAAAGAGATGACTTATAAAATTAATCACTACACACCAAAGATGTATGTATACTTTGATAGAAATTTAGTAAAATTCTTGAATTTCGCCTTTAGTTTTCACGCGCATGTGTTTGTTTAACCATTGACATTTCAGATTGAACTTAAGGAATTTTGCGAAGACGTGAGCGCAGGAGTTGGTACGAAGGGTTTTTTTCTGTTATTAGGTAAATAAAATTTCTATCCGCTTACTTGCAAATTCTGTTTTTATAGATTGTTGAGAAATTTTGCATTTTGTTGATTTCCTTTATTTGCTGGCTGCTTGATTTAGTAGACTGTAAATTCTTGAACTTGAAATTAGGGACTTGTAAGCCACGACCTGAGTTTAAAAAGTAGGCTATTGGAAGCTCGTTGGAGGAAATTTATTTATATTAAAAGTATGGATAAAAGATGGATGGATTTTCCAAGAACACGTGAAAAGTACGAGACATGACTTCAAATGTTTCTAAACTTCGCATTTTCAAGATCAAGTTGCGACGGAAAGATTTTGTGTCCTTGCAAAGATTGCGGCATGGGTGTTTGTGTGACAAAAATGGAAGCATATAATCATTTGAAAGTGATAGGATTTATCAAGGGTTATAATAATTGGATAGCACATGGAGAACTTTCAAACTACAATGAAGCCATATCTAATTCTGAAAATACATCAATTGGGGTTTCAAATGGGACTAATGACATGCAAGACTTGGTCCATGATGTATTTGGGATACCACAGGGAACAAATGAATTGAATAGAGAAGGGGGCATTCCTGTTTCAGAGGCTGAAAAATTTTACAAATTGATTGATGATTCTCAACAGGATTTGTACAGTGGTTGCAAAAATTTCTCGAAATTGTCTTTCATTATTCGTTTGCTTCACCTAAAATGCCTGGGTAAGATGAGTAACAAGATTTTTAATATGCTTGTTGAACTGTTGAGAGAAGCATTTCCGGAGGCCATGACTAATTTGCCGTCTTCTTACTATGAGGCTGAGAAATTGATGAATTCATTGGAGCTGGGTTATGAAAAGATCGATGCATGTCCTAATGATTGTTCTCTTTATTGGGGTAGTGCTGAAAAAAGAACTTCATGTGAAACATGTAATGAGCTTAGGTGGGTTGCTTCAGAAAATGATCCAACTAGGGAAAAAAGGAAAATTCCTCAAAAAGTGTTGTGGCATTTTCCCTTAAAACCTAGATTACAAAGACTATTTATGTCTTCTAAAATTGCATCTCAAATGAGATGGCATGAGGAAAAACGTACAAAAGATGGTTGTATGAGACATCCAGCTGATTCTCCAGCTTGGCAAACTTTTGACCATCTACATCCAGAATTTGCTAAGGATTGTCGAAATGTTAGATTGGGGTTGGCATCTGACGGGTTTAATCCATTCAACAACATGAGTTCTACACACAGTACTTGGCCTATAGTTTTAATACCATATAACTTACCTCCGTGAATGTGTATGAAGCAAGCGTACTTCATGTTGTCTTTGTTAATACCCGGACCATCCTCTCCTGGGAATAATATTGATGTTTATCTACAGCCTCTAGTTAAAGAACTGACCGAATTGTGGGATTTTGGTATTCAAACTTATGATGCATCCCAAAAAGAAAATTTTCAACTGCATGCGGCTCTGTTGTGGACCATTAGTGATTTCCCTGGATATACAATGTTATCTGGGTGGAGCACTAAAGGTGAATATGCTTGTTTTGTTTGTCACAAGTTCACTCATGCACGACGGTTGACTCATAGTTTCAAATATTGCTACATGGGTCATCGGAGATTCTTAGATAGTAAGCATAAATTTAGAAAGCAAGCCCAATTCTTTGATGGCACCGAAGAACATGGAAAGCGACCACCTTTGCAAACCGGGGATATGATTGTGAGTGAATTGGGAGACTTGCAAATTAAATTTGGAAAACTTGTGAAAGGTAATCCGAAGCTGCCTTTCAATTGGAAAAAGAGGAGTATTTTCTTTGACTTGCCATATTGGAAAGATAATGTCTTAAGACACAATCTTGACTTCATGCACATTGAGAAGAATGTTTGTGAAAATATTTGGGGGACATTGCTGGACATTGAGGATAAAACAAAGGACCATTATAATTCCCGCCGTGATTTGAGAGAAATGGGAATAAGAAAAGAGTTGCATCCCATTGAGACAGAACCTGGAAAGGTATACTTACCTCCATCTTCCTTTGCAATGGATAAAAAACAGAAAACTATGTTTTGCAATGTGCTAAAATAGGTGAAAGTTCCAGATGGTTATGTAGCTAACGTCTCAAGATGCGTTCGAGTAAAACCACCAAGAATTTCAGGGCTTAAAAGTCATGATAATCATATCCTAATGCAGCAATTGATGCCTATAGCTTTGAGAAAGACTTTGCCAAAATCAGTGCGCTATCCTTTGATTCGATTGAGTAGATACTTCAGGCAGCTTTGTTCTAAAGTTATTTGTCCTCAAGATGTGGTTCGTTTGGAAAGTGAAATTGCCGTCATACTCTGTGATCTTGAGAAATGCTTCCCACCAACCTTCTTCGATGTCATGGTGCATTTAGTTGTTCATTTGGCAACTGAAGTGAAATTAGGTGGGCCGGTGTATTATCGTTGGATGTATCCTGTAGAGAGGTACTGCTTGTAATTCTCCTTATGCCTTAAATGTTTATTCCTTTTTTGCTTTCTTTGATTTGTGGAACTAATTAGAGAGTTTGGAATGATGATATTTTAGGTACTTAGGAACATTAAAATCTTATGCTCGAAATAAAAGTAGGCCTGAAGGTTCGATTGCTCAAGGCTACTTGGCAGAAGAATGCATTAACTTTTGCTCATTGTATCTTGCGGACTATGTTGAGACAAAATTCAACCGTCCAAGCAGAAATGAAGAAGTACATAAGGAAATTGAAGATGGTTTAGATATATTCTCTGAATCAGGACATCCTTTGGGGAAGGGCAAGCCAAACAGTCTTTGATGCTCATATCTTGAGTAAAGCACATCAGTATATTTTATTTAACTGTGATGCTGTCACACCTTACATAGAGTAAGTTCAACTACAACTTGATGCATTAAAATTTATTGTAGAATTCAATGTATGATTACAATTTTGACTCATGTACTTCTGGGCAGCATCGTAGATTGATAGAAGAAGGACATCCTCAAGTTCCACAGCATCTAAAAGAGCGCTTGCACAGCGAAAATTTTGCGTGTTGATTTGCTGAACATGTAAGTAAAATTCTGAATATTAAGTACAATTTGAATTGTAGGACTTCAAATATAGTTTCATCTTTTTTTTTATTTACAGATTGACAAGTTAGAACTTCCTCAAAATGTTTTGGTGTTGAGAGAGTTGAGGTTCCTTGCTAAAGGTCTAGATGTTGTTGGAATCCAACATGACAGGTATGTTGTTAATGGATTTCGGTTTCACACCAAAGAAGTTGAGAAGAAAAGAAAAACGCATAATAGTGGTGTTACAGTCAATGCAACAACATCCAGTTTTGCAAGTATAAGGGATCAAAATTCAGTTTTGAGTGAACTAGTTTACTTCGGCGTCTTGAAAAATATGATTGAATTAATTTACGGAGGTTGTCGGGTGGTGTTATTCGAATGTGATTGGATATCAAATGGTTCGAGAATGAAACAAGATACTGATGGGTTTACTTTAGTCAATTTTGCAAACGTGAGGCCTCATGTTGAGCCATTTATACTCGCTTCACAAGCATCACAGGTTTTTTATGTGGAAGATCCAACTGATAAGGATTGGCAAGTGGTTATATCTACCACTGCAAGAGCTGGATATAACATGGGCACAACCATGGATGTTGAGACATATTTGCAAAGTGATGTTGGCAATCCTGTTGTTGAGAATGAAAATGAGGAAATTAGTTGGGTTCGTGAAAATGAACTTGGGATTGAAGTTGATTTGTCCCAATATAATCTGATTTAGAATCTTTTATAGCTTTAAAGCTTACTGGCCCTATTCTTCTCTGTTTCAATTGCTAGGCCTAGGCTTTATTTCCTTTTGTCGATGGGTTTTGCATTTTTTTTGTATTTTACTAATATGACCGACATTCTTAGTTTTGAAGGCATTTACAAAGCTTTGAGTTTAGTGCTCTCGGTGTCATGTTAAGCCTTCTGACAGATGTGATAAAAGACTTGGTGCTATTAGTTAAAACTTGTGTATTAATTTGCCTCTTTAAGGCATTTCTTCATTGATACTCTCATGGTCCAGTTTTTGGATTTCTAGTCTTGGTTAGTAATCGTCAGTCTTATTTTTTAAAAATGGCATTGGAATGATTTTCCTTTTAATGGCATGAGAACAATTGGCAACTGAGGCTATGATTTGGGGAGAACAATTGGTAACGTACGGAATGTGCAAATCATTTCAGACCAAACATAAAACTATCCAACTTTCCAAGGAACCCATTACTCATTTTAAGAGCCCAATGGGCTGGATAAATGCTGGTCATTATTTTATAAGCAATTCCATTAATTATAAGCTGTAATATTACATTTGTGAATCATTATTATGGCCAATTCTTTTTCCCAATAACCCGAGGTCTAATTTTTGATCAATAGAGATATTCTGAAACTTTAATCTATAAATTTCTTAAATAATTTTTTAATACCATGAAAAAATTATTTTTTAAACCAATAACAATACAAAAAGTTAATTCCGATGAGCTTTCTAGTCCAACTGATCTTTGATCGAATTTAATCGGTTTAGTCGCAATTTTGGATTATCCTTCAAAGTGACCGGAGACACGATCGAACCGATCAAGCACGATCGAATCGATCAAACCGATCATACTATATGTTTATGTTCAATCAAAGCGTTGTAAGTGTAAGCCTAAGGTTAATCATTGAAAAGTTCAATATTAAGATCTTGTAAGTGATAGTAAGCTTCTAATTAACACAAAGTTCAATGGCAATTGCTTTGGAATTGAAAACATTAAATATATATATATATATATGTTTATGTTCAATCAATGGGTTGTAAGTGTAAGCATAAGGTTAATCATTGCCAAGTTCAATAGTAAGATCTTGGAAGTGATAGTAAGCTTCTAATTAACACAAAGTTCAATGGCAATTGCTTTAGAATTGAAAACATTGAATATATATATATATATATATATATGTTTATGTTCAATCAATGCGTTGTAAGTGTAAGCATAAGGTTAATCATTGAAAAGTTCAATAGTAAGATCTTGTAAGTGATATTAAGCTTCTAATTAACACAAAGTTCAATGGTAATTGCTTTGGAATTGAAAACATTGAATATATATATATATATGTTTATGTTCAATCAATGCGTTGTAAGTGTAAGCCTAAGGTTAATCATTGAAAAGTTAAATAGTAAGATCTTGTAAGTGATAGTAAGTTTCTAATTAACACAAAGTTCAATGGCAATTGCTTTGGAATTGAAAACATTGAATATATATATATATATATATATATTCAATGTTTATGTTCAATCAATTCTAATCCCAATGTTTATCAATGGAAAGTTCATGTATTCACAAGTTAATTTTCTTGTTTCATAAACTAATTCGATCCTTCCAATGGCTTGTTAGACTACAAGCCGTACATAATTGCTAGCAGCATAAAATAAATTGAGTAACCGAAAACATTTTGATTAAAAGAATGTTTTTTGTTAGCTTCTCAAAATTTTTAATTATTTTTATACTTTTAGTTGTTATATTACATTGTATATAGCTTTAACAAAATTTTTGTTTGTTATATTTTTAGTTGTTATATAGCTGTCAAAATATTTTTGATTGTTATATTATATTGTATATAGCTCTTGCAAAATTTTTATTTGTTATATTTTTAGTTGTTATATTATATTGTATATAGCTTTAACAAGATTTTTAGCCTTTATGTTTTTAGTTGTTAAATTATATTGTATATAGCTTTAACCAAATTTTTAGTTGTTATATAGCTTTAACAAAATTTTGCCCAAACACACAAAAATTGTCATTAGTAGCGCGGCAAATTGAAAAATTCAAGAGGCTTGACTAATTTACTTTGGTGTCATTAGTACCGCCTTTATTTCAGACATCTTCTCCCTCTCTCGTTGTCCTCTGCCTTTGTCCTCTCTCTCTCTTTCAAGCTCGCACCACCAATTTGAGTCAATTGCCGTCCATGACCTCGCACCCATTTGGGTAACTTGGTTGAGCACCAGGCAAATCCCTAATTCGGCTGTTGTGTTGGCTTGGTAGCAAGAAATCAGAAATTAGGGCTTCAAAGCTTGGGTGGTGGGTGGAGTTCAGATTTTGAAGCTTAGGGAAACCGAGAAGTTAGGAATTCAAGCCATAGTTTGAGGTAATTTCAGTATTTTGTCTCTAATTTTGCATTGCATGGTAGACATGTTCTTGCATTGCATGGTGGATTTAGTTTTTAGGTTATTCAATTCCCATCTCTGACAAGCACCTTCTCCGTTTCTGAGAAGCACATTTCTAGGTAGAGTGTTTGTTTTGGGGGGTGGTAGTGGTGTGAAAAGCTTTGGGGGGTGGCAGCGGTGTGAAAAGCACGTTTCTGAGAAGCACATTTCTAGGTGAGCCTGGTCGAATGGAGACTGCTACTGTGAACTGAATGTACAATTTCAACCATCTATTTTTGGTGATTGGTTCTTGTAAGACCCACAGACAACCAAGAGGGGGGGGGGTGAATTGGTTGATTAAAATCTTAACCAAGTTTATGCACTTTTTCTTTAATGAAAATTTACCTTCGTTTTTAGTAATGATCAACCAAGTAGATTAGAAGACAATAGCAATATTAATCAGAGAAGCAAGTATAGATAAGCAATGAAGATTTTATTAAACAGAAATATAAAATAGAGAAACAAACCAAGTGTCTACCAAGCTTTACCCAAACTTGAAGACCAAACACTAGGAAGAGCAACTTCTCTTTGATGAACGAAGATCAACTAGATGTACAATGGAGGGAGCTCTTCCTCCTTACCCTAAGCCTCACTTAGTCAAGCTAGGAAGTTTTACAATCACTCAGAAAACCCTCAACAAAGCTACACTAAAGATCCTTTCAACCACAAAAGAAATGCTCAACAGAAATTCACACCACTTTAATACAAATCTGCTTTGGAGACTATTTTCTAGCTAAAATATCTCTTGAGAACTTGTAAACAAAGTGAGCAAAAGTCCCTACTTCGTTCAGACCAGTTTGATTTTAAAGGGAACCAGAAATGGGCTTCATCAATGCTTCCAACGGATAGAAGGCAGTTGAAGAGTCAACTAGCCGTTGGGGCTGTCGGACGTCCGACGAACAAATCATCGTCCGAACCAATCGTCCGAAAAACAGCAAGTTTGACGTTCGGACGTCCGATGAGTGTTTATCGTCCGACAGTACAGCGTCCGAGCTTAGGCCGAGAGTTGGCAAGTTAATTTGGAATTTCTCGGACGTCCGATGCGGTTGATGTGCGTCCGAGATGTGCGTCCGAACCTTCCGGACGTCCGATGACTCTTTGTGAGCGTCCGACATAGCTTCCTTCTTGATGTTCTTACTTCTTTCGGACGTCCGACAGTTTCCTTTCGGCCGTCCGACCTGTTTGTCCTGTTTTTGCTTCTCCTTTTTGACTGTTTTGCATTTAATGACACATTCGAACCTGATTCCAAACACAAACACTCATATTTGAAGAAAGTTAGATAAATCAAAGTGTTCACTTTCTTGGTCTGTATAAACAAACTTTTGTGATCATCAAAACCAAGAATAACATTCTCCCCCTTTTTGATGATGACAAAATAAAAGTTTGAAATTGATGATTGTAATGAAAACTCCCCCTGTCTTAGTAAATCCTAAAATTTAAAAATTTTGAAAAACTCCCCCTCACTTGGCTGCCCATCCGAGTTAAACAATTCCATTCAACAATTAAACATACCAGCCAATCCAAATTTAAACAATCAATCCAACATATCCTAACATCACTAATCATTAATCACCAATCATCATACATCATACCATCTCCCCCTTTTTGTCATCACAAAAGGGCAACTAATCACATCAACATCAACATCCCCTTTTTGTCATCCACACAGTCACAAATTTACACAAGTTCACAAATCAATATCCTGGTGACAGTATAGAATATACATTCATCAAAACAGTACTTAAAATATACAATCATATTCAATACAAATTCATTACATTCACACAAGCAGAATAGACAATCATTCATCAAAATATTTAGACATCCATCAAAACAGTACTTAAACATCCACCAGATCATACCAAAAGAAACTTAAAATATCCATTACAATACATATTCATTGTTGAATACCACAAACACATAAAAGAGACAAACAGAATGCAAATGTCCTAAATGATGAACTAAGTGGATCCAAGAGTCCTCCGAGAGAGCTGATATTGAGAGAGGTCTTCCTCATCAGTTTCTTCATCAACTTCAGTAGCTTCTTCAATTGGTGCCTTGCCTTTGTCTGATGTGGAAGGGCCATGAGGAGTCACAGGAGTTGATGGATTCGGATCTGGAACTGATGAACCTGGATCAGTGGTTCGAGGTTCTTTGTCATGTGAGACTTCCTCAACCACAGGTGGAGGAAAAAGAAGGTTCTTTTTATCAAGAAAAGCAGCTTGTTGCTCAGAAGACATGGTGAGCATTAGGCCATGTTCTAGAAGAAGAACATGCTGTTTGAGTTCATGAAGAAGCTCAATTACCTCATTACTGGAAGAGGAAGATGCTTTAGTGGTAGACTTCCTAGGGTGAATGGGAGTGAGTGAAATGGGTGAAGAATCATGTACAGTCTTAGATCTTTGTTCACTAGATGATGCCCCCTTATATGCCCACAGATTATCTTTAAAAATAAGATTTTTCCTTTCAAAATATGCTCTGGTAAAAGCATAAGAAGATGCTTCTTTGGGACAAACACCTAGAATTGGAACTTTGTAAAATTCAAAAATCTTTTGAAGAAACTT